AGGCCGCCTGCCTCCCGTCGTCCGGGCTTCCGGCACGGCTATTGATTATGTCATTTGCACTCTAACACTTATCATATTTCTCCCATTCACGCTTTAATATCCCGTGCCCCAAGATGGACTCGTTTGAGTGGACGCGCAAGGTGTTTCGTCTGCGCATGATCCCAGACCGTGTCTCCAGCCTCGGTGAAGTTGCCAGTCTGCTCGGTGAGGCATTTCACATCCCAGCCGACCACGTCCTCATCTACTCGCTCGCCACGACGACAGATATCTGGGAAACTCCGCCGTCCAAGATCGCTACTCTTCAGTTCAGAGCCTTCCCGCAATATCTGAGGGATCGCATGACGCAAAGCGAATGGCGATTTCCTCTCCCATGGGTAGGCTATCGCGGTGACCTGATTCTGGACACGCATTTTCAAGGAATAACGCCGTTCAACGACGTGGACTCGGCGAGGCATAACATAGACTGTATTGCCATATCAGGACTGGCTAGTCACCCTTTCGGCTCCTGGCAACCCCGCGGCTCCGACAAAACATTCATGTGGATACGGGACGTGCTTCCTTCTGCGGTTCCAGGGGTGCGAGCAGTCATATACGGCTATGACTCGGACCTTATGGAGGCGCGCTCTTTTCAGACTATCGGCGATATTGCGACCTCCCTGACCTTGCATCTCAAAGCCGGCGGTTGGGATCTGCCATCCTCAAAGCCAGTCATATTTCTGGCTCACAGTTTGGGCGGAATCATTCTGAAAGAGGCCATCGTGCAAGCCGCTGATCGGGAAAGGAGCATCGTGGGGATTCTCGACAGGATCGTGGGGGCTTTGATGTTTGGTGTCCCAAACCTTGGAATGCGCCAGTCTCACTTAATGGCCATGGTGGAAGGACAAGCGAACGAGGCGCTGATAAGGGATCTGTCTGGAGAGATTGCCAACAGTTGTCTGCAGCGGCTGAACCAGCGGTTTCATGACCTTCCCTTTACGCAGACGGCAAAAATCTTGTGGGCTTATGAGACTAAGGAGTCCCATACAGTGGTTGTAAGTCGCAAGTCTCACGACGGCATTCCCCCCCCCCTCAACCTGCTAGCACCGACCTGCTTGTACCTTATAAGTACGGCTGCTTACCATCTGCTTTGCCACCCACCTGGTACTTAGCAACGCCCGGATAACTCCTGGAATAAGGAAGGTCCGCCGACCGTGCTGGTCAGTCCTGACTCGGCGACGAGTTATCAATGTCAATGGAACAAGTCTGTGACCATTCCCATCAATGAAGATCACAGCAACATGGTCAAATTCTCTCCGGGCGATGCAAATCTGAGGCTGGTACTAAGCTCAATCGTAGAGCTTTGCCACAAACAACTATCGGCCCCGGCGCTGCGCGCCATCAATCACGTTCACTCTCAGGCTCCAATTGCAAACGACATGTTGGAGTCGACGACGAGCTTTCACCGCCGTACATCAAGCCTCGCCCATGGTAACTCCGGAGATTTCTCCGACGACAAGAAGGTCTTGGGTCAACTAGAGTCGATCGTGACGTCAATTACCGGTATGATCACTCAGTCTGAGGATGCACCTGCGTATGAATTGGTTTATGTCTCTGTTCTGACAACAAAATGACGGTATTATTAGCACTCCACGAGAGTCTATATTCCCCAGATCTGGATCTGCGCATTGATCAGATTGAACAGCCATTCGACGAAACGTTCAAATGGGTCTTCGACCTGCCCAAATTTACCAGCTGGTTGCAGGGAAGCTCCAATCTTTTTTGGATTCATGGGAAACCCGGCTCGGGCAAGTCTACGCTCATGAAGTACATCTTCAGGAATCAGCAGACATGGGAACTTCTACACAACTGGGCTTCTGGCTCTATGGAAATCAGAGCCGGCTTCTTCTTTCACTTCCGAGGCACGTCGCTCCAGAAGTCATTCGAGGGCGTCTTGAAGAGTCTGATCATTCAAATCTTGGCACCTGTGCGGGAGGCTTTCTTGCAGGAGCACGGAGTGCTTTGGTCTGATTATGAGACTCTCAAAAAGAAACAGCTGGGACTGGACCTTGAGATCACGAAACTCAAAAAAGACCTGCAATAGAAGAGGAGGGATATGGAGAGCGTGCAGGAGAGAAATCAGGCTGCAGTACCCATGCTCGGCAATAGCCGCTCGGCGGGGGACCTGCAACGGAAGGGTAGGGGGATCGAGACCTGGAGTCCGCAGCAGCAGCGAAATGAGGCTGTAATAGCCAAGCTCGGCGATAGCTCGACAGGCAATGCTTATCAAAGCTCAAAGTCCCGGGGGGAACTTGAACGACAAGAGCGGGAGATACTTGAAAAGTTGCACAAGACGGAATCTGCAAGAGAGTCCACGGATGACGAATTGCCTTCGCTCGCCGATCGCTTCCGACCTTACACTAACGCTCCCGAGACAGTATTTCTAGAGGATATGATCACAAAATTCCCGCCAGAGCAACACCGGTCTCTCCAGAAGCTTGAGAATATCCTCCGCTGGCTACTCGACCAGGATAAGCTCGAAATGGATCTGGTTCTCTTCTTCGATGCATTGGACGAGTTTGAGGGAAATCTCGACATGATCAGTCGTTTTCTTCTGTGTCTTGTACAGAAGTCCTCTATGTCGAAGGCTCGTGTGAAGGTGTGTTTCTCAAGCCGGCCGTGGGGGCAGTTGAAAAAGCACTTTGTCCGTTGCCCGAGTTTCAGCTTGCAAAATTACACCCGGCAAGACATTAAGGAGTATGTGGTTGGCACATTGGTCAGCTCACCGATTGGCGGTTCTCTCATCCGTCTCCTCGTTCCAGCCATCGTTGACAGATCCAATGGGGTTTTCCTCTGGGTTGCCCTTGCTCTGAAGGAACTGATCGGTTCTGTTTTGCCAGATCCCCAAGCCGCCACACTGGAGCGCTTAATGGGAGTACTCCAAAGACTTCCGGACGATCTCAACGAGTTTTATAACCTCATAATACAACGCATCAGCATCACCAACCGCCGACGCACGTTTGCCCTATTGGAGCTTTTGGCTCGGCAGACAGCGACTCCACTTACAGCTGCAGCCATGCGGGATGCTGTCTTGCTCGAAGGGTGCAACACGTTCCAGGAGGCAGTTGATGAGCTGCAATCACACAGAGAAGGTGACGACGTCCTCGAGGAGACTCGACAGTTGAGAAAGGACATCGCGATTTGGGGTGGCGGGCTTGTCGAGATCAGAACCGAGAGAGACGGGAATTCTCACTACCTTCAACTGCTACACCAGACCGTCCTGGAGTTTGTTACGGGCGAGCAGTTCAAGAGAATGGTCCTCGGCGACTGGGCAGTCCTCCCAAACGAGAACGGTCATTCTTTCTACTTGAAATACCTGATCTCTGACTGCATGAAGGACAGCGTTGCCGAGTATTATCTCTACAGGGTTGGACCGAACGTCAGTTATTCCCAGGCAGATTCATTTTCCTCTGTCTGTGAGATGATTTATCATCACTCCGAGCAATCCGAGCTCACGACTGGTTGCAGTCAAATGACCTTCATCAGCACCACACCCAGAGACCACTTGAACTTGGCGTATGAGGAACAGGGAACCCATCCGCTTGACTGGCAACATCGGTTCCTCTTGTTGTTTGCCGTTTCAAACAGGTTGACTTTATGCCTCCGAGACTGGATAACACAACATCCTGGCCAGCTGAGACGTCTTGCACTGCAATCCACCAGCTTCCCCCTCCTCACTAACCTCGTCTTTCATCCTCATTCAACCGGGGTTGCCTTCCAAAAGAGACACCTCCAGGCAGTGAAGCTGCTTCTCGATGCCGGGTTTCCCGTTGGAGAAGACACTATTTTCCTCGACTATCTTTTGGAGGAAATCTGCCGGGTCAATTTTGGAGGAACCGATGACGACCGCGGCGCGATTTCAAAGCCGCTCCTGCATGAACTTGCTAAAATGGTTATCCAGCACAGCAAAAAAAACCAACAGGAAGATTCTTCGGATGGTCTATTTTCAGCGTGTAACGACCCCAGATGCAGCGAGCTCCACCCATTGCCATCAAGGATGGCGGAGGGGCTGATACACTGTGGAGCAACTCCGACTTCGAACCCTCATAGCGGCGAGATTGGGCTGTATTGGGTCCTGCGATTCCCTTTCCCAGCTGCTTCTCCAGAAGGCCACACAGAGTGGGATTGCAAGCAGAGGTACAATATGTGCACGGCTGTGCTCAGCGGCGTGATATGGAAGCATCTGGTGCCAGAGACTTGGGCCGACGCTGTGTCCAAATTCGACGAGGCGGGCTATGATACCCGACAGATTCGCCAAACCTTACTACTGCCCGCGATAATTACAACCCCAGTACATACTACGAACTTCCGCTGAGGAAGTCCCATCCTTTTCACAGCTTTTCACAAATCATGCAACCAGGGCTTCCAACGCGAGCGACGGCCTGAGCGAACAGCTTATCTGGAGTCAGGAAACCAATCCCATGAGCCAGCGATTCCCCATAGCGACGATCACAGCTCGTGCAGCCGAAGCTATCAGGGGGGCTGATGGATTTGGTGAACAGGATATCTGGGGCCTTGAAACCGATTTCACGACACCACCATTCATCGCACCACCGGTCCAGGATCCTCGTCAAGATTTCGTGATCTCCGAGAATGATTCTGGAGTAGATAGACTTCGAAGGGGTGTGAAGAAGAAAAGCTATGCTTTCCTTCGTAAGTTGCTTGGCAAAGGAAAAGGTTACAGGTAATTAATGAACGTACAGAAGGATGCGAGTCATCAATAGCCTTTTTCCGCTTGGATCTAATTAACACATAATTAACTCAAACACGCACACGTATTGAACTATTACGACCATGGGGGTCCCTGAAGAATTTCCGCCCACGGCCCCTAGGATCCACACTCGTCGCCGATCCATGTCCACGACCCCCCGGTCATAATGTGCAGTCTTCCTAGTGAATATACCACCGCTGCGGGACGAATGCCAAGCAAAACAACTACGGTGGATGACTCAAACATTCACACTTCTTCCGTAGTATAGTGGTCAGTATATGAGCTTGTCATTCGAATCCGAGCAATCGGATGGAGTAATTCGCTCGGGACCCGGGTTCAATTCCCGGCGGGAGAGATACATTTTACTTTTTTCCTGGTCTCACGACCAAGGAAAAAGGAAAAACACTTGTTTATTAAGTTCCTCGTCATCATCTTCACCGGCTTTTCCTTCTTCTTTTATTCGATGCCCTTTTCCCCCTCTATAGACAAAACCAGATTGACCCCTTTGCCGTGATAAGCAATTGCATGTGTACTGTGTAATCAGCAATTAGACACCTAGGTAAGGTGCCGGATAACGAGGTCATATGAAGAAGATGTGACCGTGTGATGCCCTGCGGTGCTGAAAAGAATCAATCGTAGTCTCATTGGATGTTCGTCCGACTCGGACGGAGGAGTCGTGAAAACGGCCAGCGACAACAGAGACCGAAGAGAATCCTGTAGAAGGTTGGACCCCACAACCGGCTACCCCCCACAACCGGCCACCATCACCACCATCATACCCACACAACAACATGCGCACAACATCGCCAACAGGCCAGATTTCTATACAAAAAAAATGCAAGCTCAACTGTCCAAGGCCACGTGTATGCATTCAAGTCCATTTTGTAACATTCGCTGGGCTTCTTCTACTACGTGCATCTCCCTAGCCGCCGTGGCCTTCTTCCTTCGCTTGGGGGCTTGTTGGCTCGCTTCCTGGGCGGCGATGATGTCGGGAATACACACAAATTGGTCATTTGCACCCTCTTTGACCCTCTTCTTCGTGCGTGGCTTTGTAGCCTCTAGTTCAGTCGTCAAATACTGGATCTGACGCCTCAACGCAGCTATTTCGGCGTTCTTCCTGTCTAGCGATTTACCCGACTTGTTGGCAGGGAGGATGTTCTTTGACGCAATTTGAGCCTCCAAACGGTCAAAGAAATCATTGTAAGTCTCACGGGTAGAACCGCGGGCTCGGACTGATTCTGGGAGACTCGAACTCTTCGTCGTAACGCGTGGGTTGCGGCGTAGGAAGCGGTCGAGCCAACGGACTCCCAATGGAAGAGTATCGCCGCCTTCGTGCAGTATGGCTTCGCCGAAGGCCATGACCTGCTTACGCGTAGGCGCGCGCCCTGCAGCCACTTCGTTGAGGCACCAATCGGCTAGGAAGCTCTCCTGCGTAGGGGAGAGCCTTTGCACGGCTTCTTTGGACTGTTGTTGTGGTTGCGCGCCGTGGAGCCGGTCGCCGAGGGTAGATCGGGATACGCCCCATTTTTTCGCTGCCGCTCTGCAAGAAAGACCACTGCGCACGTCGGCGATTGCGCTCTGAATAACCTCTTCCCTGACAGTCATGAATCAAAAGATGGGCTATTTTGGCCTAGGATTGAACAAGTTGTGTAGTGTTGAAGTTCGTGGTGGATGGAAAAGCGGTGTGGGGATACGTGGCCGGTTGTGGGGTCCATGAGTCTAGTAAGTGCATGTGGCGCCAAAAGCGAGGAAAATGACAGTTCTCATCCCGCGCGGTCCGGACTTGAGCACCTTGACGCTCGTTGATGCCCAACCACCATCTTTAAAACCGAAGATGTGCAAATGTATTGCTAATAGGTAAGGTGGGGATAATGTAAGCCAGAATGGTACAACTTCTGAAAGGATTCTCCATTCGCGACTCGCGCCGCAACAGGTGCAAGTTGGAGTCGAGGCCAGCTGCAGTGCTGATGCAACACGTGCACTTCAGTTGGATGTGACGGGAGTGTGCCACACGATGAAGGTCGTTTGTCAAGATTATCAAATGATCAATAATCTCTTCCTGTCACGCTGCATCTCTGCAGCTTTGATTGGGCAGCAACCGCCAGAGAGCTCTCAGATCTTACCAACAGAGTTTTGTTTGAGACAGACTGCGTACCTGAATTATACGCTGCGTGCTGGTGTCTCAGTCGTGGAATTATGGATGGGTGAGAAAGTGACGGAAAGCCGTCCAACGCCTTACAGGAATTGCAGAGTGCTTTGTCAAGAGTCGCGGGATTGAGCTGAGTGATGACGAAGAAAAGACAGGAAGCCATGGATTCGATTATTAACTAGGAGGGAAGTGGTGACTTCGGTTCAGTTTGCAATTTGAAATACCATATGAACCCCCTTCAGACATTGCATCATCAAGTTGCCAAACTTTGACTTTCAAGTTCATGTCTTCATCAGATGATTACCCGATTTGACTGTTGAGCACCGAATTCTTCCCTCGACATAAGCTCACCAGCCCTCAGCTGTCCGACTGCAGCCTCAGATAACACGATGTCCACTGTCGCCTCCACCGACTACCTCGTCGTGGGAGCTGGTCCAGCTGGCGGTTCTCTTGCCTCATTCCTGGGACAAAATGGCTAGTGAAAGATGACACCGCACGACGATCAAGCCTTCAGTTCTGACAAAGCACTATCAGGTCTAAAGGGGATGTTGATCTCTTCGGCGTCGGGCACAGCCGATACACCTCGAGCTCATCTCGTCAATCCTTTTGCCGTCGGTTAGTTTGACAAAATGCCCCCTTTGTGAAGCAGGGGTGGATCTAACCCAGTGCATCACGCAGAATGCCTTGCGGACATCGGTCTGCAGGACGACGCTTGCCGCCTCGCTATCACCGGCAAAGCTCTCCAGGCTATCCGATGGTGCAAGAGCGTGGCCGGAGAGGAGTACGGTAGAACTCTGAGCTGGGGTGGACATCCCGACACAGCTGTATGTGCTCTTCAAGCTGCTTGTGGCCATTCACACTTCCAATTCCTCGAGTACCTTAGATGTACTCACAACCATGCAGAGAGACACGGCCCTCGCCACCCCCTGCGACTGGCTGGACCTGCCTCAGTCGTACATGGAACCCCTTCTCATCAAATACGCCTCCCACCACGGCTTCGACGTGCGCTTCAACACCGAACTCCTCTCAACCGCGCGCCAGCCCGACGGCACCATCCTCTGCACCCTCCGCGACCTCACGACCCGCCTGACCTACCAACTCACCACCTCGTTCCTCTTCGGCGCCGACGGCGGCCGCAGCACCGTCGCCCGCCAGTTCGACTTCCCCTTCACCAAGAAGCCGTCCCAGGGCGTGGCCTGCAACATCCTCTTCAGCGCGGACCTCACCCCGCTCATGACAGACGCGCGCGCCTCGCAGCTCCAAATCATCGCCAACCCCAGCCGGCGACACACAGGCGGCATCGCGCTGGGCAGCGGTCCCACGCTGCGCGTCGTGCGCAAGTGGAACCAGTGGCTGCTCTCCTCCGTTGTGATGGGCTCGCCCAGCTCCGACCCGTTCGCGGGCGTGAGCAGATCCGACCCGTTCGCGGGCGTGAGCAGATCCGACCCGGAGCTGGTCGCCTCGATCCACGAGATCATCGGCGACAGCTCCATTCCGGTCGAGGTCCTCCGGCTTGACCCGTGGGTCATCCGCGAGACCGTCGCCGACGTCTACCACACGCCGCCCGCCGGCGCCTCTGAGTCCACAAACGTCTTCCTCCTCGGCGACGCCGCCCACCGCCACCCGCCCGCCTACGGGCTCGGCAGCAACACGTGCATCCAGGACGCCTACAACCTCGCCTGGAAAATCGCCTACGTGGCCCGCAGGCTGGCGGGGAGGAGTCTCCTGGCGACATACACCGCGGAGCGCCAGCCCGTCGGCGCGCAGCTGGTCCGCGAGTCCAACGACGCGATCCGCAAGCACGTGGACGTATGGGCTGCGTTGGGGTTAACAGCTCCCACACCCGAGGAGGGCCAGGCGCAGATCGATGCGCTAGCACAAGATACACCCGACGGCGCGATCGCGCGGAAGACCCTGCACGACGCGCTGGAGGCCAAGCGCGAGGAGGCCGAGAGCCTCGGGCTGACCATGAACCAGGCGTATGTGTCGACCGCGGTGTATCTCGCCGACGAGACGGGTCCGCGCCCGGCCGTGGACGGGAACCCCGTCATCCGCCCGCTGATTAGCACGTACCCCGGCTCGCGACTGCCGCATGCATGGTTGGACGTCGCGACGCGGAGAAAGGCGATTTCGACGCAGAGTCTGGCCGGGCATGGCGCGTTTGTGCTGTTCACGGGGCACGGAGGAGCCGCGTGGCGGGCGGCCGCGGAGGCGGTGGCGAGGAGGACCGGCGTGCCGATTACGGTGTATGGGATTGGGATCGGGCTGGATTATATCGATGTGGATCGCCGGTGGGAGCTGACAAGGGAGGTGGAGGAGGATGGGTGTGTGCTTGTTAGGCCGGATCGGTTTGTTGCGTGGCGGGCGCGGACGGTGGTGGCGGATGCGGAGGGGAAGTTGGGGGAGGTGATTGATCATGTGCTTTCGAGGGGGGGGTTGGAGGGTGCGGTTGCTGTTTGAGGTGTGGTCTGGGGTGGAACTTCCTTGATGAAGCATATTTCGGTTTTCTTTTTGGCACATTGGCTTCACTGGCAAGTTCTTTAGATTTCTTCAACACGCATACAATCACTTATATGATCCACTTACCTGACTCAACCAAACTGACATTTTTTCCCACAAATGCTATGTTTACGTCGCCTCTGTAGTTGAATGGGGGCTCTTGTTGCCAATCTGTGTCACTTCGTGTGCCCTTAAGGTTGTTTGAATCGTGCAATGGTCCTTGCCCCAACTCGGATGCGCCCCATGTCAACATGACTCCACGAAATACTGGGTAATTAGAAGCAATATATGCTTTCATAGACCTGTAGACTGGGAGACCATCAATCTACCGTCTAAGAAACCGTGATAATGTTTAGGTATTACTTGTGAAACCGTCCAGCTTCTGATATTTATTCTGGAGACTATGTGCTCTGTACCCACACACTCCTCCATCCTCTTGCAAGGTCACCCCCTTCGAAATGTCGGTTTCATGGTGTAGTTGGTTATCACGTTTGCCTAACACGCAAAAGGTCTCCAGTTCAAGCCTGGATGAAATCATCGTTACTTTTGCTAGCCCCATGCTCTCCAGCAGGGGTTGCACTTTATTTTTGAATGGACTGAGAATGTAAATCCTACGCTGTCGGGGCTTTCGCCAACGGTCTTGGTTAATTACGGATCATCTACACGAGTTCCATGGACTCCGCAGTTGGGTGACATGCGAAAATCCG